GGGGCTTCTGGCTATCATGGCAGGACAACAGCAAGACAGAAAACACAGGTACAAAGCCCACATTTTCATACCTAGTTTCCTGAAATGGTCCTGCTGCAATGAGCAATAGGTAAATAAAAATGTCAGTTACATAAAAAAACTTGATAAACTATAAGGTTGGATGTGTGTCCCTCACAAACGGACAAAAAGAATGAGCATAACAAATATGAACTGATTTATAAAGTGTTTACCTCTGTGTGATCCATCTATCTGGCAATAATTTAATCGATAAATCTGAGAAGTGCTTTAATGGAATACTGTATGGATAAAGGTTGTCTACTGTACCCCGGCACAATGTGCCTTGCATGGGATGATGTTTATCGGCATAACATCAATGTTAAGTGCATGCTAAGGCTTGTTTCACCAACATGTAACACTGAAGTGTTTTGATGTGTCATTTCGGCTTTAGCTGTTTCCCCGATTGAATGATACAGCCAGCAAAACAGGTTACCATGGCAACACAGCTGCGTTAAAGCTGACCTGGTAGTATTCCTTAGGCCAATTTCAGGCAGTGATCATGTCATTATTCTACCAGATGATTCTGAATGAAAGTTTACTTTATTCGCATATTTAAGTGAATCCAAAATAAAATTAGGCTGGTGCAAAATTTGTAGTCTAGTGGTGGGAAATTTATGCAAACCACACTCTAAATGACTCATTATCAGACGTACGGTAACTATAACCAATGCATATAATGCCATAACTTTGAAATTGCATTTTCATCTCTGGCCTTTCACAGCCATGTAGGAGCTCTGGAGTTGATAAATTGTGTAATTGTTTTTGTAGGCAAAAACACACTTACTATAGAGAATATCCATTTAGTGTCAGCATATGTTATTGAAGACCACGTCCTTTGTGCAACTTATTGAAAACATAAAACCCGGTTTCCACAGAGAATGTTCAGTTAGTGTCAGCATATGTTATTGAAGACCATGTCCATTGTATTTAACATGGCTCAGTCTTCTTGTATTAGCTTTAACCAGGGGTCAGAGACGTGAATCATCAATTATTACAAGCAATTACAGAATTTAATGCCTTTAAACTTGTGTGATATAAATGTCCACCTTTCATAATAAACCTGAGCCTATGGATATACGCATTTATGTATGTGAAGATTGGATAACGAAGACGTGAGACCAAAAATGTACAACACTTTCGTGCTGGAGAAGACTGAAGAATACCATGGACCACAGGTGAAACAAATGATCAGATTTCTGATCAAACCAAGCCTGAAATTACACTTTAAATACAAATGACTCCAAATGACACATACTAACGAAAACACTGAGAGCACCCTGAGAGCTCGTTCAGTGACTGGGATGTACATGTGCTTTGATAAATTCTTCAGCAGTTTTTTTTTACTTATTAAAAAAAACACCTAGACCCAATAAAGACTAACTATTCGATTTTCAGTTATTTAACCCAGCGTTTTTCAACTGGTGTGCTGCCGCACTCTCGTGCTGTTTGAACTGGCCAGGAGTGCCAGGCTTAGTCGAAAAAAATCTTTGTGTTTAAGTGACTATTTTTCATTTAGACTGTTAACAAGCTTGCTACGTAATCAAATGTGGCTGAGAACATGACCAACCTACTACTGACACCCGTCCGTGTTCCACAATGTGTAAAGGATCATTTCTGAAAACATACTTGTTCCAGAACCAACATAGTAAGAGCAATGTGATGCACGTTATTGGAAAGAGTGAATTAGAAGTGTGTTAATCAATGCTGTTTGAGTTGTTCCTTCATTTTGAATGCACTGGCAAAGACTGTTTGCTTAGCTAAGGGCAACACAATTAAAAGAAAAAAAAAATGCTAACAAATACATCATGTTGGCGATTATGTGATTTCTAAATGCTGCCCAGTAACCAGCAGAACAATTACAGCAAACGTGCAATATGTTTTCAGAATGGAAAGTAAGGGTGGCTGGCATTTTGGGTTTTTAATAAGCTCTCGACATATGGTTAATGATGAGGTAACTAATTATTTATAACTGAGTTCTCTGATTGCATCTGTGTCTGACGGAGCCCTGCTTGATGTGAGACGTGTGAATGATTGTGAAAGCACACCGCGTCACTAGCATGTGCTGAGTGGGACACTGCATCAGCAGTCAGCCAAATTGATGGTCAGGTAAGATCGACAACTTACGCTGCCAAGCAAATTGGAATGATTAAGCAGTTAAACAGCATAAAAAGAAAACAAGCTCAAATTAAAAACAAAATAGTATAGCTGTATAGCTGTATAATTATACTCTGGTGTACTTTGAACATCACTTCAGCCTTTGGCAAACCTTAAATATGAATCCTTCTAGTAAAATCTCCAGCTGTAAACAAACCAAGCCTTAATGCTGTGTAAATCATTTTGGTAACCAACCAAATGAAGAGAAGGTGTCTGCAGTGGCTCTCAAGATGTTTCAGTTTTGGTTTTATATAGTGTTTGTATCAATATATATTTGTGTAAAAAGCAGGCCTGAATTTCTGTAAGAAACAGAGGGTTGGGATTATGAACCTCATAATATTATATTTCCAGCAGTAACATTTGGTTTAGGATATGTCCTAGGTAGGTTTTTGTAATCCTATACCTGTCCTATACCGATTTTCACACCTCTGCTTTTTTCACACTTGCTTTTCTGTATTTTAGCATCAGCTTAATGTTTCATTGAGTAGTTGGTACACTGGTGGGTGGCACAAATAAACAAAAGTCAATTTAAGAACACGATTCATCTAAACCCAGAGGTAGATTAATGCAAAGTTATTAGCCTAGTGCCCCTGGAAACATCAGGGCCCCACCCCACCTCGGGAAAAACAGAACTGTTAAATTCATTAAATCTGGCTCGCCGATCGATCCGCCGGTACTTCCCCGCCCCCAGCTGGGCAAGCTTTACCGCCAGGGCCCTGCATGCTGATTAACGGATTATTGATGTTGCATCATTTATTATTCTACCTCGTCTCTATTTCAGCCCAAAAAAGAGCTCAAGTGGCCCGTGTGGGAAAAGACCTCCTAGCCAGCAGCCCCAGGTTATGTAAGTTTGACACCCCTGGGTTAGTTAAAGCCTGTCACCAGCCTGCAGTGCATAGCTGTATAAAACATAAGAGTTTGATTTTTATAAAAGCCTTGTTACTGACACGCTAAGCTTATAAGTTCACATCGTGGACTTCGAAAACTGTGAATAAGTCTGCATATTTTATGAACATTAATGTTTGTTGCTCAACAAAGAGGAAATTAATAAAAATAATTTATCCTAACTGTATTATGTTGTCTGTACTTCCATAATTACAACACAAGACTTAATTTTTTTATAATTTGTTATTTACAACAAACAACACAACACTTTTAATTGGATGGGCCAGCTGTCAATCACAGCTTTAAGTCCTCGGTTGAAGTCTTTAGTGTAATAGATAGCAGTTTCTTCATGTCGTCATGGCAGCCAGAATGTGGCAGTGTGCGGCTCAGCGGGATAGGACTAGAATCTGAAAGTCACTGGTTTGAGTCCCACTGGTTTGATGTCACCAGTGAGCCCTTGAGCATGGCCCTTAACCCACAAATGCTCCAGGGAATGTCTGACACTGCTTTTTCAAAATAAATAAATGAATGAATATGTGGCTTTGGATAAAAGCACTGGGTAAATTAATAAAACGTAAGCGATGAAGACCAATCTGGTAGCAGGTCTAACACTTAAGGCAGCTGGAAAGTCAATATTTTCTCATTTATTAATGTCAATGGAAAAGCTTTATAATAACTACATCAGCATAAATACATGTATACATATAAAATGTGCATTCAAAAACAAAAAAGTAATGAAATTTGAGTATGCAAGATTTCCTTACAGGTTCCATGCCAAGAACGCAATAGCTCTGCTAAAATAAGCTAAGAAAAAATTTCTTCTACCATTGAAATCTAACTAAATTTTCGCTGCATCTACATTATTAAATAGGAGTAGATATTTGCCTTCAATTCATATAGACATGCCTGCTCCACAAACTGTATTTGTAAGGCACAGACCTGGAACAATTCCTGGCCATTCCTTAGTGTTCTGAGAATGGCTTACCTGACCTCATGGATCTAATGCATCCCCTATTGCATTCTCTAATAACAATAAACATTTATCAGCACAGTTAAAAGTATTTCAAAAAAATTCAAACACATTACGGATATACTTATGGCTGGTGCAGTATGTACTGCTACAAATATATCATAAATTAAGATTACAGAGCATTAATGTTTTAAAAAACCATTAGCAATGAAGCTTGTGCAATATGAGTGCATTCAATTTAACACTATTATCTGAAACATTTTTTTTCCCAGAATCAGAGCATGTGTCAAATTACAGCTTTCTGGTAAAATCTCAAGTGAGTACTGCAAGAAGCGGATCTCTTTAAATGAAACACAAAGCAATTCCATTTTCAATTTCCGGAAGCATCTTCTGTGATTAGTGTTTTTCACATTTTGAGTCTGTCAGTGACAAGTAGTTTAAATGTAATTTACTAACGACCTGTGAGTCAGTGGAATGCTCGTGTGCATAATGGATAGCAGTATAGTGGTATACCTTTTTAAGTGGGTCACAACACAATGTCAGCCTTCATTAAGCATTCACAATGCTGATGTAGTTGCAATTATAAGTGTTATAGGTGCAAGAGCTCTGGGTTATTTTTTCATGCAACATTTAAGTGCTCAAAATGGAATTTTCATATTGACCTTCATGATACATATCTTATTTACATGAACAACATTTGGTTTTATAAATAAATTATTAATCTGCATTAAAACATGAGTGTTTGGATAGATTCTCCTCCTATTGTAAAATATTGTACCTTGTGTGATTTTAAAACCTCTGCTTCATTTGTTGCTTTCTGACAAATTTAGCAATAAATAATTTTCACGTTACAGAAATTCAGTCAAAAACACCACACAGATGCATACTGTATAAACATAGGTCTGTACACACATCATTAATTGCTAGATAAAAATACACTTAAAATCATTTTAATCATTCTTTGGCAATGTACACCCCTGTTCTCTTGATTCCCAAAAGAATTATTATTAAGATTATTACTTGCCACGAGAAAACCAGTCGATATAGCTTTTGAATTACATGACATGGCAAACTGAAGCCATTTTACACTAGTAGATTCTGCAGGACATTGAAATTACATTCCCAAAATGAGAAAATGACTCTTCTTGGCGCAGATGGCAGCTGATTTCTGAATGGTGAATCGCTGCTGCTCCACACATCTTGGTAACTGAGGAGTATATGCTGACCAACTTTGCATTTGAAGCCTTTGGAAAATAGAGTTCTGCTTAAATATTCAGCCACACTCATCATGGAACAATCTAATTATATGAATGATTTTATCCAGTGATTCTGACATCTGTGAAAACAAGGCTTTTACAGTTTTGTCTCAGGAAAATAGCTCCTCTCATTTTCACGTGATCTTCCTTCTGTTTCCAAGATAAAATTGTTTTAGCCAAGAAGAAGCCAAAATACTCAACACTCATTTTCTGTTTGTACCTACCTTTCTCCCCCACAAATGACAATATTCATAAATTCCTTTAATACCCTATCAATGTTTTCTTTTTTTTATCTTTGCAGTGCTCAGTACAATCATATTCATAGAACTGCTACAAGCAATAAAAATTAGGCATGGCACTCTTGCCAAAAGTAAATACAGGACATTCTTCTACTAAACATTTACATTTAGTATTTGACAATAATTAAATGTATTACAGTAATTTACATCATTTATGTTTAGGAAAGTACCAATTTCATGAGGAACCTTTGATCTTTCAGTTTAACAGATTATTTTCAAACAGGAAAAGATGTTGTTAATTGGTAACTGTCAGAAAAGGTTTCTTGTTACTAAAAGTTTTCTAGGTCAGTGTTTTTTAACCTGGTCCTCGGGATCCCCCAGACCATATTTTTGCTCCCTACCAGACAATCCACATTTTTGCTCCCTCAGGATCAAGAACATGGACTGTCTGGAGATCCCCGAGGATTGGGCTGAAAAACACTGTTCCAGGGTGTTTAAAAACCCCAATCAGTGATTTACAATTTGCAATCAATTAGCAATGATTAACTTTCTGAAAAGCAACACACCTGTTTCAAGTTCACACTAGGTGGAAGGGAAATTGACAATAAATGACATTGTTAAATGACTCTAACGTAGGATATGTTGTCATCAGGAGCAGTTTGCTCTTTTACAGTCATTAGGTTACACATAGTGTGATGACAGTAAACTATAATTAAAGCAGTTTGGGAAATTCTTCATGAGAAGGAATACGGGATTAGAAGTGTTAAAAGCTAATTATGGCTAGCTCTTCCAAATGGACACCACCAGTTAAAATGACTGTTCATCTGCAATGTTCTTCGCAATGTAAGAGAGCTGTGCATTGGGACTACGAATCACAACATGCATTGAAAGCCCTTGCGTCAATATGGTGCCAATCAGTGATATGAACAGACTTTTCGTGGGACAGGTGGTCGAGTGGGAGGGGGGGGTCATAGACACCTCCTGCTTTTTGCCTGATGGGGGGGGGGTCCTATGTAAATTTCTAAGATTAGCTGGTGGGTCCTCCTCAGTAACGTGCCACAATGGGGGGGCATTATTAGCAGGATGTAGCTAATGGCATTATAAAGCTCTTCTGTTTGATCTACTAGCCGCTGCATCCGAAATTTCCCTTCGTGGGATTAATAAACATCTTCATATCTCATCAGCGCCTCTTCTATACTTGTAAGCTGTTCCAAATAGTGCTGGTAGTCTTGTATTTTCAACAGCTGTCTAGATCTCAGTTGGCTGGGAATGATGTGAATCAGTGAAGGATACATCTTCCGTATTTCATTTATCTTAAAAAGCAGATGTTGCGGCCAGTTGAAAATAATCTAGGATTAAAGGTGAGTAAACCTAGGTAATGCATGGAGAAAAGGACATACATTTTAAGTCTGAAGTATAATAATCGAAATTAACTGAAATGCTAGTTACCATCAGTTCCTGACATCCACTGAAGACGTAAAGCAGGTGCCTAATATTGGCAGAGTACTGTTTAATTCTAATCCTGTTTTAAGCTAATGGGAGGCCAATCTCTGGTGAATTTGTCTCTCCCTGTGCTTAGTTTTATGCTTAGTTTTATAAATGGCAAGAAAAATTACTGAGAGTTCACATTCTTGTTTGTAAATTCTACAAGCTAGACCATACATTAGACAGAGTATTTACATGTTACTAAAGATAATTACATTTTACCAGTAGTTACACTATTTAGCTGGCTGCATTACAGCTAGCTGATTCACTGACTGAATCGCCCCACCAGACACAACACTGAGAATGTCATAGTCTTGTTTTTACGTTAAATCCGGCTGGTCAGTATAAATACGAGCTCTAAGATGAGCTGTAAACCTGGCTCTTGTCATTCATAGCAGCTTCTGTTCTCACTCCTTATGGTCTGGACTCTCCATGTAGCCTGAAGTGCAGTCCATACTTAGCCACACCCTCAGCATCATGGCTCCTTAAATTCATTAGGTAGTGAAAAACAAACAGAAACATGGAACACTTATGTACAGATAAGAGCATACATTCATTTTCTTGCAGTACTTTAGAGAGCACAATAGATCAATTTTCCCTTCTCACTTCATCTCATTCTGAAATACCACTTACATGGTGGATTAGATATTCTTAAAATTTTCAGTTCTTTAACATAACAGAAACCATTTTCTGTGATCACAAGGACCCACTGCTGGTGCTTTTTATTCTGCTCTGTGGAAAAAAAATATCCAGCCAAACCTTACGTACATGCAGCCTTCTGTGGATGTAAATGTACAAGTAATCTTTGACGTTCTTTGAAGGACTGAAGTGCTGCTTCACAGTGTTGATAAAAACACGTCTCTGGCGTGGTGCTGTACATTCATCTGGTCTGGTTGCCAGAGAAAATCCGAGCCCAGAAGATGTCTGAGATGTCCATCAAAAGCTGACTGAATGTCGAATTGACGTCACATGCTTCAGCCGCGGACGAAAAAAAAAATCCGTGCATAACATCCTGACTTCTTCATCTCTGAACTTCCAGGTGAGGAGCCAAAAGCCACTTACTACAAAGCTTTCAACCACAGTGCCAATTACAACATCAATAAATATAAGGAAGTATTATGTGTTTATAATTTGCACTACATTTACCTGTAATGTACCTTAGACTTATCAAGGATAGGTTTACTTTTCTAGTTGCGATTCAGGCAACTTAAATTAATCATCCTATAGCATAGACCTATGTACAAGCAATGTTAACAGCCTCCAATGAGTTGAGAAAACAGCATTTACCCCCTCCTCAAAACTCTCTGCTGGTTTATATAAGTGGCTTAAAAATGGTGTCATCACAATCTGCCCCCCATCCAACTTAGTGACCTGGTTGTTAAGTTATTCCTTCCAGAATGCTTTTGTCATTGATTATCCAGGTAGGTGTTGACCTGCTTTGGCATTACTGCTGGTCGCACCTCCTCCGGTGCCCATAAGTCAGCTGCAGGGTCGTCAGCCGGGTTCCACCGATCAGCAGCGTTTCGCCCCTCTGACCCTGGAACGTCTTCTGGTGGCGGAGCAGTAACAGGAACATCTCCTTGCCACCTCCTGCTGCAGAACCTTGGCTTAGGTGTCATCTCCCCACTTCTGCTTGTTTCTCCTCAACCAGAGCCAATAGCTGCTCATTTAATAGTAACCTGTTGGTGATCTCACTGATCCATTCAAAATGTGGGGAGTCAGTTTTCAGTGACCAACATCCTAAGCTAAAAAAATCTCTCCTTATCCATCTTAAAAACACTTGCACAATGGAAGCCTATGGAGAATACCTATAGACATACCAAATTACTCTTGCTTTTGATTAGTCTGACTTTTTACCAAATTCTCTGTAGAAAACCAGGTTATGGAGTTATTGCTGTTTTTTTGCCATTTTTATTATTTATTGTGTTTTCTGTCCTATTCCTGCACCTTCGTTTGTATATTTTTTCACATGTTTTATACATCGTGTTTTAATCCTTCAGTCTACTGTAATGCATTTTTTATGCTGTATAGGTAAAAGTGATGCAACATATTTATTATTATTATTATTATTATTAGTGCTTGTGATAGTAGTCAGCATGTGATGCTTTGCTATGTCTGATCATTGCTTTTCTGTTATGTCATTATCAATGGCTGGCTTGTTGAGAGCGTCTAGGGTTCCGGCTGGTTCTTTATGCCCCTCTTTGGAGAAGTTGGATACTGCTGTGGCCATCTGGCAGAACTTTCGAAGTAGGATCTCTCTGAGCAGCAGGTATACCCATGGGTCGAGGATCTGGTTCAGAGATGCCATGCGGATGGCGGTCAGGAAGAAGTTGCAGTCGACCTTGGGGTCCTGGCCACAGCTGGATGGGACCACATTGGTCTTGCACAGATGTGAGGACCTCTGTGTTAAGATCATCTTCAGCATTAATATCTAAAAAAGGAAGAATGCCACATTCAAATGGTACAGAGAAAATACACTTTTATTGAAACTGCATTACTTCACCCCAATTAATTAATAATAATTATGGATAAGCTGTAAATTATTAAATTAGAATAGTATTCTCAGTTGTGACTTGACAAATATACAGGACCCATTTAGACTTTGCTTTGTCTGAGTATTTAATTGCAAGTTTACAAAGACCCTACCCACATACTGTATGGAAAGATAAAGAAATATTCTTATAGCACATTGTTAATATTGCTATGCCATTTAATATCAGGGCTGAGACAGACTACATAAATATATTTCTAATAAATCTAGTTAAATTTGCAGAAAATTTGATTAGTGCTGATGTAATATAAATATTAGTCACAGAGATCATTTACTGGCTAATTGAGGTCTTGCAATGTTCCTGCAAGTGTCGTCGATACAGGCTAAATCACCATGCAATATCAACAGAATAATGCAATATCAACAGGATAAATCCTGTCCCTGAAGCTAACATTACTGATGACCCCTAATACGAAGGAGTTTAGTAGAATTACCTACTAGTCAATGTTCTATCATTCTTCAATAACAATTGAAATATGAAGGGGGTGTATAAAACAACATAAAAACCACATGGAAAAAAGGGCATTAACTGGAACTTAATTATAAATACATACACAATTACAGAAGTCAGTCATATAAGGCTGAATGCCAAAGAGGTGACAGCAGTGAAGGATGTCAGACAATCAGCACCAATGGCTTGACTTTGATGTGTGTGAAGCAGCATGAAAAAACTAACAGAAGCTGGACAAGGCTAAAAAGTCAGAGTCCAAAATGAAGGCGCATAAGTCAAAAAAACTGCACAATTATTTAAAATATCACTCCACACACAAACAAAACATGCCTTATGACAGCATTTCAAGAAGGAATGAACCTGTAGTGAAAACAACTGCTGCTTTTTAAGTCCCTGATATCAATGCATTGTTAGGTGATTCCATTGTTTTTTACACTTCCTGTCCATATCATATCTTTATAGATAAAAAAAAAAAAAAAGATAACAGTAATCAGCTAAATGTAGAAAGGCTGGATTATGGATACATATTTCAAATACTGATATTAAATTTAGTAAGGGCTTAATTGTTGCCAAATTGTATTTTTTCCTCTTTGATTTTCAATTATCCTGTCTGCAGCATCTAGGTTTCCTTTTGATAGCCCACATTCATATCCTATGACCACATATTTCATTCAAATATAATTAACAATCACGCAAAACACATCTCCTATTCCACACTCCATATTTTATTCTAACTACAGTACACTGTTGACGAGGATTCATTGTAAATAGTACTTTGTCATTTTATTAAATACTCAAATATCAGGACACTAAACGTTTGGGGTTTCTTTTTTGTATGCAGTGGTTACGTTAAACTTTCCTACTAAATGTTAATAATACCCCACCGTCCCTGAACAAGATAACTGGGTGGAAAGATTAATGTCAGCCTAATTGTTTCAGGGCAGGGATTTCAAACGTCCAATATTTATCTTGCTACGTCAGGATCCGAAATGTATGCTACATGTTGCAGTAATACATACCAATAGCGGGGACCAGCAGATGACCAGCACGCACATTATCCCCATCAGCTGAATGACAGTCTCCATGGTTAATTTCTCCCACTGCTTTGCCGTCTGGGACGAGCCAGGCTTAGTTCTGCAACGGGTTAAGAGGAATCTGATTGTGATGGCGTTGCAGAAAACAGTAACAAGTAACGAAAAAATTCCCAGCACAGCAAACGTGGTAGAAAAAAACACATTCCCGAGAGTGTCCCTGTCACCAGTGTCAATAAAACACCACGTGCCGGGCCACTGCAGCTCATACTTGCCGACACCAGCAATGGGTAAGAGGGCGAACAGCAAAACAAGGCATGAGATGAGCGCCAGAGCTGATTTTGTGATACTTGTTTTCATGTGGTTGGCGTACCAGAGCGGGCATGTGATGGCCAAAGTCCTTTCAATCGCCATTGAGCTAGCCAGGAAAAGTGGGCACAATCCAAACATAGTCATGCACACCCCAAAGAAAGCGCACAGTCCTCCACTGGGATCTATCCGCTCCCATTCTAAGTCCGCCCAATAGACCGATATAACTATAGGGCTGGTGAGGAGCTGTCCAGAAAGATCCGTCAATGCCAGTGAGCCAATGCAGAGAAGAAAAGACCTTTTCCTCTTGTCCGCTTTATTCCTATAAGATCTGTACACCAGCAAGAGAGCCAGCGAATTCCCAACCATTCCGGTTATCATCATTGTAATTGGGAAAGCCACGGACACGCAGCGGCTGATTTTCGTGCTATTAAGGAATTTGGAAACGTTGTATTCCGTCATCCTTATAGCTGACAGGTTGTACAGGGTGCCCACAGAGCTGCAGCTCTTGGAGTTCTTCATAGTTTTTCATAAAGGCATTGCACTGGTCCCCGACTCCACAAGCACTCAAACTTCACGCATAATGCCGGGGAGCTTTTAACCGGGAGGAGGCGGCGCCACTACAAATGATCTCCATTGACATTAAGCGAGTTCAAATACATAATCAAAAGGACAAATATTCAGTTTTAAATTTAAGTTTAAAGCTGTGTAATTTCTGATAATGCTTAAACCTGTATTTCTACCTCTTGTGCGACAAAATTTACAGATAACATATTGCTATCAAATCACACATCGTTAATCATTTATGATAAAAACGGGATTAGGCTACGCAATGGTATCAAGCCAACTAGAAAACGGGAAAATGTTTTAATTGTTCATGTAACGATTTATTACAACTACAAAATAAAGGAAATCGCAAGCGTCATTAGTAATCTTATAAATTATGCGAATAATACTTTGTTGTATATACCGTTTCTACCAGCATATCCCCTATATGCCGATTCCTAATATGCGCCACGAATGCCACCTTCCGTTTAAAATTAGTACTACAACAACTTACTTAGAAGTTTTACTGTATGAAAAACTGTATGTGTATACCGTGCATGCAGTTAGATGACAAATGGCTGATGTAAATTTAACAACTATTTAAAATAATTAACGTCAGGAGGATATACTTAACCACACCCATTGCAAATAACCGACGAACGGGTTAGAGAAGACAGTTTCATGTTATTCGCTGAATTTGCCTCCAATTAGTGAATGTGTTTCTTGAGCTGTGTTCAGAGAATTGGAACACACAATAACGCTAAAAAAACAAACATGCTCAGTGTCAATAATAAAGTGTATATATTCTATTTAAAAATTACTCGTAATACTAACTGTCTCGGTATAAATACATTAAATGCTACGATCAGCCAAATTCCAATTAATACATCACACTACTAGGAGCATAATTCGATTGATTATGGCCCAATATGATATGCTTTCATGCTGTCCAAAATGTCTAGAAACATCCTTGATTAGCAGCTCATACAAGAAGGCTCCTACTACCCCCGATGGTTGAAATTGTGTATAATGGTTCCCGCCATTGTTACAATGGTAAGTGATTTTAAATTAGTTTTGCGGACAGCTTATTTGTTTATATTGTATCGAATTAATTACAAGCTGAGTAGGTCAAAATTTCCGAATTTGAGTTAATTTTGATCACCGATTGTTCACATTAATGAGTTAAACAATTCTTCAGCTAACAGTGGGACGCAAATATGCCTTAGATCGTTTTTCACTTTGCATAACGTGAAAACAACTTCGGCTGTGTCTGTATGTTCATGTGCGTGAGTAAATGAATATGCAAATTTAGCACCTACCTGTGGCTCTGAGACGCTCTGTAAGCACAACCTTACCATAGCACAGAGTTTTGGTGCAGGAGATGGTAGGGAATGGAAGATTTAAAAACACGCAAAAACACACACATGTTTGTATTCATATCTTTGTGGGGACTGTCCATTCGTTTCTATGGGTAAAACCCTATTCCCCAACTATGACAACCTTAATGACAGCCCTAACTGTAACCAAAAGTAACCAAACAGAATACAAGACTTTTGATTTTATCTGTTTGATTGTGGTCACAGATTTTCATAAAACTGAGCTTCCCCTTGTGAGGACAGAAAAATGGTCCCCAAAACATGAGTTTTAATCTACAATGTCAGGACATAATATATGCATAACATGCACACACACACACACAATTTACCCAAAATACCATTTTTGAAATGTTTATTTTGCCCTACTTTATATGACTGTCTTGAAAGACAAAATACCCATTAACTGTAAGAACATTTGTAAACCTAAAATCTATCCCAGGAGGCACAAAGCAGGGGACACTGTATGACATTTCAACAACTTAAATAGTACGCCACATACCTAATACAGCAACTCACAGACAACAGTTCACATAATTGCATGTTTCTCGATTGGTGGAGACCAGAGAACCTGGAGGACTGAAACTTCCAATCAATTTGTCTGTTCAGCCATTGTGCCTCTTGCAAACTGAAGTGTCATAAATTAGTGTGATTTGGTTAAATGATCCTGAGCATCTTCATTGGCTGACACAGATAACAGGTATCTGTGAAAAACGGAGAGCTTCCCAGACCAGCACTCAAGCAAAAACCTGCTTCCTTCAGCAAAAAAAAATAATAATATATATATATATATATATATTTGCAGTTTCCAATAAACAAGGCAATTCTGGCAGTAATAGAATTTTAACGAAGTGTATTTAGACTTTGCTGTTCCCTACAATGGACTGGTAACCCATCAAGAGCAAACCCCGACCTTGTTCTCTGCTTTGACTGGGATAATGGTTAATGGTTTCAATGAATAACTCCAGATCTCAGGCTGACAGAAATTAACTTGCAATCTGCATGCCTCCCTATGATGAATTAAAAATGCTTTGAGTAGAGGTAAAACCAGGGGGGTAAGGATGCCATTTACTATTTATAAATCTACCTGAGTGTTTCACCACTGCTTTTGTAAAGGTATTTGGTTGTTGTGCTGTAATTGTCATAATAGTATATTGTTGCTGGGCACAAAAGTGTATTAATAGAATTAGATTGCTTGGACATGCTACATGAAGATATAATTCTAGTTAAGATGAAAATTTAAACAGGGCAGACCGAGGACATTTGTTTTCTGTCATGATGTGTAAATATCCTCTTGAAGACTAGATGTGCAGTCAGTCTGGCCTCCGTAACCTCGGAAAGATGTGAAATGAGAAGGCTATTATTTCTGGGGTGAGAGATACCGTCCTTACTCAGTGTGACACTTCACACTGGGAGACGATCGGGAGACAGAAATGATGAATTCAGACGGCTGACAAAACAGTTTTCGAAAAAATATCCTGCATTATAAGACATTTTGAGGCAGAACTCTAACTCTAAACAGGAAAGACAGGTAGTCAGAATGTACAGATCCACACCCTTCCTCCTTGAACAGGCTTGTGTGACAGACGGCACAGAGAAACTGAGCTGGCATTGGATACACAAAAGTCTGGGCTGGCAGGGAAGGTAGAGAAAGGACAAGCTTTAGCAGGGCTGGTGGCAGCTGCAGCAATAACTGCAGCCTGGATGTCATACTGAGCTTATTGCGTAAAGCCATCCCGATGCTATTATGGCATGTCATTACGGGCCAGGAGAGGAAACTTTCAGACCACATGAAGCTTGGGCTGAAACAGCTTCTTCATTAAATCCATTCTTCAGAAAAAGCGAAACACCTGATCCCCATGACCATATTGCAAACTGGACATGCACCTACGGTTGCTGAGGGGCAGTACACTCAGAGCCCAGCTGACGAGGGTGGCGGGGGGGGGTTTCCATACCTCAGGTCTACAGCTTCACGGGAGGGGGGGGGGGGGGGGGGGGGTTGGGGGGTGCTTTCAAGGTCACAGGTAAGTGCAGGGCCAGTCTTTATACCTAAAACCAGTGTTTTGAATAAGCTTAGCTATGAGGATATATGACAGCTGGAACATCACTAATAAGGGGGAAAACCACAGTGACTGAATTTGTTGACAGGTTTTTATTTACATGTTGTTTACATTGCAGTTTAAAGGAATCGAAAGACCATTTCAACCACATTCTATTACGGGTATCATAGAAAAAAGGATCATTAAACTACCTTATTCAGCATAGACTAATTATGGAGTTGTACAAAAGGGCAGAGGAATGAGCAGGGATTCTTGTCTTCACAGTAAAAATATTTCTATTCTATGACTTACTCAGAGACAGGGCTTTTTAACACGGCAATGACAAAAAATGTTCAGAGTGCTGTTAAGCTGCAAAATTAAGGAACAGAAAATAACACACAAGCCCACATGATGCGGGAAAAGGACAAGTTAGTGTCTTTGCACTAAACTGCATGGCTTAATGGTCACTGAACTTTCTGCAGGAGTTACTGTCAGGTGTGAAAGGGGTAATAAGTAGTTAAAAAACATACTTACCTTGGTTCAAAAATAAAGCAACCAAAGACCGTCAGGCCCCATGAAAAATACCAGATCCCTTCTCATACAAACCTGCATTAGCAATAACATGGGTAGTCACCCAGTTAAGTAAAATGTTATATTGCCATATTAATGCTAATCAGGTCTGGGAAAGTCTCATCAGTACATCCCCCCCCCCCCCCTGACACCCCCCCAACTCCAACCCTACCACGAAAAAAAAGAGGGGGAAAAAAAAAAATCAGTAAAAGCAGACTTAGTTTAGGGATTGCCAAACCTCTTTTTTAGATTAAGTTAACATTTACTCCTGTACGATTTAGCCAAATATCATTAGTCTTATATAATTTGGACTGCAAGAGATTCATAGCCGGCCTTAAGCATTTCTATCTACTTTCATCTAGCGAGACTATGGTGCCTCCTATATGATCCTTAAACTGTTGGAGTTTGTTTTAAAACTGGACAGCGTACAGATAGCAGGAGATTAAGCATATTTTCCAAAATGATGATTAACGCCTCCCCCCCCCCTCCCTGCCCCCCAAAAACACCTCAGCAAATACCGCCATTGATAGGCAGATTTGAACAGCATCAACAACTTATCTGAATTGGAAACAACATGCACTGTGATTTAGATCTACGCAGATCTGAGTTAAACTTTCTTTAAGGGAGGGAAAGTTTAAATTTATTTCTTTTTTGAACTTGATGATTGGGATCCTGAATGGGAGGATCCAGATGAAAAGCCTCCATGCCTGAAGGGAGAGATCGGGGGAGGGGGAGGGGAGAGATCGGGGGAGGGGGAGGGGAGAAAAGAAAAAAACAAAAACAAAGGATTGAAAGGCAGGTAAGCACACTGGCCTAGTGCAGGCAAATAAAGCCTGGCTTCATGGGTCACTTCAAAGCACCCGACTCAAGTACATGCTCCTTTAATTCTGAACACAGAGCAGCCCTCCCTGGGTGAAAGATTGAGATAACCTAACAGATCAGTAACAAACATACACCACTGCTTATTCCACATAAACCCAAACCTTTCAGACGATCGAGATCTAGAACGCCTTTTTTTCCTTTCGCCAGACGAGGACCTTGAGCGACTCCTTTTCTGGCCTCGTTCAGGCGAAGACGAAGGGGAGCTGGAGCGAGACCGTTTTCTCGGGGAGGACGAGCCCTTCCGAGATCTTGAGCTTTTGGAGGCCAGGGGAAGGGGATAAATCATAGGTGCTCAAATTAGTGAAAGAAAAACGACGGACACTTTTGACCTCAACATTTAGATTGACGTAGATTCACTGGAGAAGAAGTCGTTAAAGGGAACACTGAATGACACTTTAATATCGACTGCAGCCACAGATTTTGTAAATCCCAACAGCTAAGTTTTAAAATTTGAAGCCCCCAATATTGCAGATTGTGTTCCTGTCAATATGTAGACTTGTTAGCCAATTTACAGGCTAAAATCCCTCAAACTGGCAGGCTGGTCCAAAAAGGCTCAAGACAGGAAAGTTCTTGCTCCCTCTGCTGTGACACACACACTCTCCCAGTAAGAGTGCGTGTCACCTAATTCACCTGGAGTTGGACCGACGCGAGCCAGCTCGGTCTTGGGAGCTGGAACGGGTTCTCGACCTGGAACTGGATGAGCTTCTGGACCGGGACCTGAAAGAAAGAATATTTATCCAATATTTTTTCCAGGAGACAAAAAAAAAGAAAGGCAAAACAACAAAGAACTGCACAAAACAAAAAGGAGGGAATCAATTTTCCAAACAGAGATGGACAGTTATACACATTTCAAGGTATATCACACATGAGCTAAAGCTGCAGATTTTCATCTGACATTCACTGACCAGCAGTGTGCAAGTACACATTAAAAATATAATTCCTCAGGAGTGCAGGTTCCCTGGCGTGCGTCACAGGAAATTGATACTCATGCCAAGTTCTAAGAATAAGTGGTGGCAGAATCTCACTTTGGTCAACTCATAGGTTACGTAACATGAACAACCAGAAATAAAAAAGATTACTTTAAAGTTAGGCTGCCGCATTTGGGTGTGGGGGAGGGGAAGGACAAGGACACAAGCATTAAAAAGTGTGAGGGAAAAGACTGCAGAGAAAATATTAACGTGGATAGATCTGAAGAAAAAGATGGCGCTGATACTGACATTTTGCCTGGAGTTACCCTTGACCTGTACCCGTTTACCTGGACCTGGACCGTGAGCTGGAGCTGGAGGAGCGGGAAGAGGAACGTGATGAGCCCGACCCACTGCTTTTCTTCGCAGCAGGTTTGGCATCCTCATCGCTGGCATCCAGGTCATACTTCGATAAGTCTGCATCATCTTCTTCTTCTTCATCATCATCCTCCCAGAAGGATATACACAACTCAAATTTATAAACGGCAAGAGTTTGTTTTTTCAAATAATTGTTCTTTGAAAGATCAGAATTCTTACATCTAATTTGTATTTCGAAAGGTCTCCCTCTTCCTCTTCGTCGTCATCATCATCATCATCATTCTCTGGTTCATCTTTAGTGCTTTCCTTCAAAACGGGCTGGCTGCCGGTTTTCCCACGATACTTTTTCTTCTTACGGCCAAACTTGCAAATAGAGAAGAACAATATTAGTGAAATATTTCTATGGCTACATACTTCCTTAGCTTAACTAGTATATAACTATATAAACTCAAAAAAAACCCCAACAACCAATATTTGAAAATATTGTATTGTATTTAATTGATATTCTGACCAATTAAAATGAACTGGAATATATATTATTTGCCTCTTTTACTGTAAACTAGTGAAGATATTCACCTCATCATATTCACCATCAGATTCTTCACGTTCAATGTACTCCACATTCTCCCTTTCATTGAAACCACCACCATAGCCTGTTAAAATTACAAGATGGGATCTGTTAACAACAAACTGACTGTACAGTGAGTCACAGATGTATACATTTCACAACGTGTAAAACGTGCATACCTGTCCTCTCTTCTAGCTTTGCGTACTTAGGGGTGTTGCACATATTACACTCTGACCTCCGGGCCCAGTTCACATTTCCACAACTGGAAAAAAATGGAAAGGAAAGCAATGCTGCTAAAACCCAGACGTACAAAGGAAACTTAACTGAATGTGACAGATACAGCCCTGGCTGAACTTCTTGTTGCTTCTGCATAAACATACAGTGCAACAAAAATGCTGCATGCTTTAGAAATCCCTTATGCAAGCAGATAACATAGGAGTTTTATTTGCTCTTAAGCCCACCCCAAATCCACTGGTGCCAATCAAAAATCCTGCCTGTTTCACCTTTAGGCTCTCAGACTGTACACAGCCTACTGCATGCACATGGAGTGAGGACCCCTTCACAGCCTCCAAACATTCTTATTTCCTTTTGCCTACCTATGCTGTATCATGCAAAGGTTTTCACCAGGTGAGCTCAGCAAAACACTAGTGAGTACGGAACTATTGGCACTGGGGTGTTATTTATTATTCATTTGTATGACAGTGAACCATGCCATTTGGATGACGACACCAGCCAAAAAAACTACTTTGTCTCCTACCAAACACAGCTACTTGTATGTATATTTACTCATCAATACTAGATATCATAACTAAATCTGTCTGGCTGAGAAACTTCCTTCCATTGTAATATGGGTATGATACATTCTACTTATATTATTTTTCGTAACTTATGTTTGACATGGTGAATATATACACCAATACTGGCAGAACAAATTCCTAGTACAGTACATGCAGTTGTACCTGGCTAATAAATTGAATTCTGATTTTGATAACAGAGTGGTTAACTATTTTATAATACTAGAGAACAAAAATTCATGAAAGGATTCTGAGAAACACTTTTTATGCTAAGGTCTCCAAAACTAAGAAATACATAAATGTGCAAGCTGTTACACGTATATCAAACACTGTGCACTTGTGGTGAATAGATTTACGCAATAAGCCTTAGGGGAACGACTCACGTTTTACACTGCCAGTCATTGGCACTGAAAAGGCCCCGGCTTTTCTCCGCCAGGGTCTTCCCTATCTCAGTTCCTCCTGCTTTCATCATCTTCGCTTCCGTTGTTTTTTCTGCAGGAGGCATAATGCACAAAGAATGAATCAGGGATGTTCAACACTAACATTCACACATGTATTACGCTGCTGAGGGGGAGGGGGGCCTCACCTCTGCCACATCTGTTGCAGTTTGTTCTCCTAGCAAAGTTCACATTCCCACACCTAAAAACAAATTTAAATGTACATATTTCAAAAACATACATTTATATTTTACAATTATACTTTGCAGAGATAAGACAAATCACATGTGCATGAAACAATCTGAAACACAAACATATAGGCAGCCATAAAACCTACTTGGGTATAGTAGCTAAGGTTAATACATGTGTATCATTAATTTTATATACCTTTACATTCAGAGAAATCGTCTGAGAAACAACCACGATTTAGACCTAATGGGTGACCAACGGCACCCTAATTTTTTTACGTTCAACGGCACGACTCGTACAGAAGACAGACCATGCCAGTGTACAAATCATATAAAAAATAACTTTCACTTAAGTAAGCAAACCGACATATTGTAATGCTGGATCATTAATACCAAGCTATACAGGAGGATGTACTTCTACTTGTAATTAATACACGCAGATAGGTAGTTAAGTTCATGGTTAGGACAACGGGTCCATGCAAAGTCTTGAGTACAGCATACAGCTAGTAATCCACCTACATAAATTATGAAAGCGAACTTACTGTCTAGCTAGGTAGCTAACTGGATAACTGCAACGTGAAAGGCCTCGTTAAAGTCACGTAGCCTGTCAGCTAGAGGGCTGTGCGAACCAGCCGTTCATATTTCGCCTCTGCCTTACATAACGCCATTTCTTTTTAAACGACATCAATACCATATGGTTTCAATAAGCGAGTTTCATAATTAGTTTACAGAGAAATCAGCGCTTTCCTTACTTTTTATCTGGGCAAATCCAGTCGCCGTCGCTCACGCGAAAACTCTTCCCCGACATCTTCCCCTCCATTTGGCTGTCCGCTGACGTCCGGATAAAGGAGCTGGGTTAAGACGCGTGTGTACTGAATCTTACTGTATCATTATCCAAACAATCCCATATTCTGCATGTGAAAATTGTATTTACCATGTTTTAAAACAAGACACCATATGCTTTTTAGTCAAAACGCAGTAATGTTACTAAATTGCTATTCCAGTTCTATTTAAATCAGGCACATACAAAGACAGCCGTAAAGGGTCCTTTAGTCTGCACGTTTTGGCGGCTGTCGCTGAATAAATGGGTCCCACCTTGCCCATCCCTCTGTATTTCATTTGAAATGACGTTAGGTGGAAGCTTACCCTATTCACATATATAGATATATATATCGACCGAATCTGAATTGCTACATAAATGGCAAACTGAAAATTTATACTCATCTAGCAAACTAGTTTCCACGTGTGGTCTACTTGAACTACCATACACTTGGCTGTATAATGGGTGATTATCTACATACATATCTTGAAATAGTGTTTTACATAATCTGCCATAAGAGGAGCCTGGTGAGATGTGACATTTAAATTGTCTTTTAATCAATTCATCTGTAATATGTCTTTACATTAATTTGATCTAAGTAACTTAATTATTGAATTAAATGATTGCTGGAATGTCAGTACGTTTACATGCACCGCTACGGCTATGACATTTAATCAGACTTCTGTCCTTGTCCCAGTACATATACACAGAAGAGGAATCGATTTATTGATCGAAGAATGTCCGACTCCACTACAGTAGGTGGCGATATGGCTTCTTTCAGCTCGTTAGTATTCGTTTTCCGGTTGACCCATTATGTCACAGACGTAAAAAAATAAAATTAATAGTAATGGGTGCGTGGACAAATGAAGTGACGCAAGCATTAATTGCGATCTGGTCGGAAGAACAGATGCAACAAAATCAGCATAGCATAACAAGAAATAAAATATTTTGTACAATATACTAAGACAGCACGGTATTGGAAGTTTTTCAACTATTACAATGTGATTTCGTTGTAATGAATACTGGGGCATTTATGAAACAAAAAGGAGTTCAACAAGAATTTCTCACGAACCCGTCTAGGTAGGTACGTTAGCATCATCGCGAATCAGCCGCCGCCATATTGGTTCCGATAGCGTGTTCGGGATTTTTCCGCCCTGGCAGGGGTATGCCTATTAAGATCTCCTTTTATGGGCAAACGGATGTTAATTCCCGGGTATCCTTTTGATGAAGTAGACACAAGATACCCAGAATTCCCCTTTTTCACCAATTGTCGATTTCCGATTTTTAGGATCGCGGCTTAATCGTGTGGAGTTTTGTGTTCACAAAAACATCCTTCAATTTAATAGAAGGTAGGTAGGAATTCAAATAAATTATGTATAGACTACTAAATTAGATATTCAAGATCAAATTGAGTTTTGTGAGGTTTGGAGCGTCAGCACCTGTTTTCTAGCCTCAGCAAAAAAAACGTGTCTGTAGTGAAAATTCCAAAATGGAGGCTTCCGAGCAAGTTTCTATGCTGTAAATATTCATTGTTTTTCTTTGCAAATCTTGTGTTTCTTCGACCATTAATGGGCACAAATGAATATTAGAATGTCTTTTGCATGTTTACTGTACTTTTTTACATTTTGGGTCTTTTATTTGGCTGATGTTTAAAGATTTATTTTGTCAACAATTCCATGCCTCGGCTGTATTTCAGGCTATATTTGATGACGTCATCGGCTTTCTTGAGTTCTATTAGCTAATTAATATTCCTGATTTATAATGCTCTCGTCTGATTGGTCAGGTCAATGTTTGTAAACATACAAGCATGTGCTTTGTGTTGTCATAATAAACTTAATTTATTATTACAAATACAAGTATTTTTTAAATTTATTTAAAAAAAAAAAAAAAGAATCTTTATTGTACATTTTCAAAAATCCATAACAATGCCTAAATGTAAGAAGAAATCAGCACATGGTGTCATCCAGGACCAAGGGCAAGGAATAGGAAGGAGGCATCTTGAGGAAAACTTCAGTGTCTTGCCTACAACACAGTCTGATTTGAAAAATGGTCACCTTTACCAATATTACACCAGTGACAAGTCTGCTGTAAAGACAGCCAAAACAGTTGGTGATAGGTTGCAGTGCATCATTCCACCACATCGCCTTCGTTCTTTGGTGTCAAGAGCTACGAAGTACCAACATTTAACTAGAGAATCTGACCTGAACAGTTTTACAGAGATTTGCCAAGAAAACCTTCGTGCAGTTATCCCTAATATGCATATGAGTCTTCTGATAATCCTGATCATCCTGAAGACCAGTCCTCTAATTGTGATCCTGCAAATATTGGATGTCTAGATGTGCAAGATGGGGAGATCCTTGAGCCATCTGGATCTTCTGAACATACTGGTATTTCTTCCACTTTTCCTGCTGATGTCATAGCTAACGCAGACCCAGATGTGCAAGATAGGGGGATCCTTGAGCAATCTGGTACACTTGAATGTATGTCAGCTGACCAGCAAACAATGCAGCTGTCAACACCACAACCTCTATCAACACCAAGTTGCCAGCGTCTCTTAAACCAAACTCCTGACTCATCCATGTCAATAGCCTCTATGCTCTCTTTAGAAGGTAAGGGAATGTGTACTCCTCGTAAGAAGACAATGCAGAGAAGACCTGACTTCGTGTCTCTTCAAAAGTCAGAGATGAGAGCAAAGTACATGAAGATTATAAAAGATCTGAGGGCTAAGCTAAAACATCCAAAAAGGTTAAAGCTACGCCTATCAAAAGCACAAGCTAAGATTACTAATGTACATGTAATGTATTCCAAGTCTGCCTTGGTCCAGAAACTCCATGAGACAAAAGATGAACTGAAGTGCCTTAGAAAAACTCAGAAACGTCTGAAACAATATCTAAAGAAATAAAAAAGTTACAGCATTTTAATGCAATGAAAACCAGGTTTTCGGTCACAGGTTTTTCTTTGTTTCTATTGAAAACAAAGGACGTTAATTACCCCGCATTCAAAGATTTTGAAATTTTTTTCAAAATTTTTTTTTATTTCTCAACCTATTACATGGATCTTGGTGTCATTGGAAAGATTATTTCAAGCTCTATCATGATAAATAATCCATTTTACAATAATAACATTTTGAAATTTTTGCTAACATACCTAGTCTAGGAGTTATTGTCTCGGACGCATGCAGCGTACATGCAAAAGCAGCGGAGGTAAACTTTAAACATCCAAAGATGTTCTGTGGGGTTGAGGTCAGGGCTCTGTGCAGCTAGTCAAGTTCCTCCACACCAGACTTGCTCATCCATGTCCTTATGGACCTTGCTTTGTGCACTGGTGTGCAGTTATGTTTGGACCAGGAAGGGGCCATCCCCAAACTGTTCCCACAAAGTTGGGAGCATGAAATTGTCCAAAATGGCTTCGAAAGCTGCAGCATTGCGTTCCTTTCACTGGAACTATGGGGCCAAGCCCAACCCCTGAAAAACAACCAAACACCATAATCCCCCCTCCGCCAAACTTTACACTTGGCACAATGCAGTCAGGCAAGTACCATTCTCCTGGCAGCCACCAAACCCAGACTCATCAGATTGCCAGACAGACAAGGATGATTTGTCACTCCAGAGAACACGTCTCCACTGCTCTAGAGTTTGGTGACGGCGTGTTTTACACCACTGCATCCGACGCGTTGCATTGCACTTGGTGATATAAAGCTTGGATGCAGCTGCTCGGCCATGGAAATCCATTCCATGAAGTTCTCTATGCACTGTTCTTGAGCTAATTTGAAAGCCACACAAAGTTTGGAGGTCTGCAGCTCTGCAGACACTTGCTGTTGTTCCCAATTGCTTCCACTTTATAATAATACCACTAACAGTTGGCTGTGGAGCACTTGTGCATGCATGTCCATTAGATGCGTAAATTACTGCCCCCAAAGCAATGTGATTTGATTATGATTATTAAGGGTATTAATGTGAAATCTTTCATTTCTACAACCTTGTTTCCAAAAAAGTTGTGACATTGTATAAGATGTAAATACAAACAGAATGCAATGATATGCAAATCGTATAAACCGAACAAAGAGAACATATCAATTGTTGAAACTAAGTTTTATTGATCAATGACAAATATATGCTCAATATGAATTTGATGGCAACAACTAACAATAACAGATCCATTTAGCATACATATTTTATTTATGTAAAATATAAATTTGTTTCTGATTGGTAATCTGTACTTGCTGGTTATTGGCTTTTGAGTCATGAAGAGGAAGTTTTTGGCCAAGTGTAGTGCAAAAAAAATAATTTAATGTGATTTAAATACAATTTTTTTGCATTATATCAGTCAAAAGAAACAGGTGCTAGCCTATGCATGCATATGCATGTCTTCTTCCATGCTGTAATAAATAGAATATGTACAAACACATGTCCCCAATGGGTCAGTCCCAAGATGCTGGTGTTTAATAAGCAGAGCAGGTCATACCACCCAAGGGGAAGGATGAGGGGTCCCAGGGAGAGGATGTGGTACGGGAGGGCTGTGAGGAGGTTATGGGTGAGGGGGTTTCGGAGGTGATCAGGCTGAGGGGACGTCCTCCAAAAAGGGATTGCCATCCTGGTCAGGGTTGTCTCATCTGGTGGTGAAATTTAAATAATAATTTTAAAAAATCATTGCTTATTGTAAGTCTGTTTTCATAGCATTCATCTTAGAAGATAAATTAAAAAATTATTGCAGAGAATTATGAATTGGTATCTGTTAATCTGTGGAGCAATATTACAGTTTTTTTTCTGAATGCTTAAACACTAACAGTGATTCTTGGAGCACTTTCCCTGAAACCATTAAGATGTGTAGCCAATGCACTTACCAAGTACGGCGAACTGAATGCACATTCTCTGCTTTACACTGAATTTGTAATTTTATAACACACTGCTAGCAAAACTGTAAAAATTGGTCTCTGCATTCCAACAGTATTTTGCCAATTGCTATTCCACATTCACAACAAAGGTGAGATTTAGCCTCGTTCCGTTTTGTT